AGTATCTATCTTGTCTGTAAGCCACCCAGAGTCCCATGGGAGTGAGCGGCATACAAATTTTATTAAATTTCAAAATTTCAACCGGGTCCACTGGTGGAACCTCTTCTAACCGGTTCGGTAGATTTGACGAACCTGTTCTACCAAATAGGTGCGAACTGGTAGGAACCCACCTCTGGTGGTGGGTACCCATGGAGATAGATGAAAGGTCCAAAGAAATTAAGGAAGTACTCTGAAATGAGAAAGATAAAATGATGGTACAGAAAGAAATGGACACAGAGAAGAGAGATTGTGCATTTGTGTATGTGTGTATGTGTGGACATATGTATGTATATGTGTATGAGATAGAGACATAGAGAATGGATCACAATTCCTGACAATGTAATAAGAGGAACATTCAGGAGTCTACTGTAGACACAATCATATACATATTGTATATTGCATTAAGCAAAGAGAAAAAGTGCAGATCCTAAAATGATTTTTATTCTCATCAATCTCAGATTAATAGATTTACTGAGGTTTTTGAGGTAATCTACTCATGGCTCAGTGGCTAAGATGCTGAGCTTGTCGATCAGAAAGTTTCGTGGTTTGAATCTCTAGTGCTGTGTAATGGAGTGAGCTTCCATTACTTGTCCCAACTTCTGCCAACCTAGCAGTTCAAAAGCATGTAAATATGCAAGTAGAAAAATAGGGAGCACCTTTGGTGGGAAGTAACAGCACTCCGTGCACCTTCACCGTTTAGCCACATGACTACGGAGACGTCTTCTGACAGCGCTGGCTCTTCAGCTTTGAAACAGAAATGAGCACCACCCTCTAGAGTCAGGAACGAATAGCACATATGGGGGAACCTTTACCTTTATTTACTCATATCACATGTTTCCTTCTGGCTTTCATGAGGCTGTAGTGAAACTAATTGTAACCAAATTCCTGTCTGGGATTTCTTTCTCCAGTTTCTCCAGGGTGGTGACTTTGAAGTGATGGTGCGATGGCAGGTGGTGGACAAGAAGATCCCCCTTTATGTCAATCACAAAGAACTTCTGAGGAAAGCAACTATCCTTTTGGGAGCACATTTCTAATGGCCAAGAGCAACATTAAAATTTGCATTTGCATTTCGTCCTCAGCTCTTTCTAACTGCAGTAATCCAACCAGTATCCTGCTGTTCAGCGAATCTCTTTAGGACATTTTTCCATTCCAGCTGAATTTAGAAATGAAACTCTTCTTGATTTGGCCAAAAATGTATGCTTGTTTGAACTGGAAAAAAGAAGGGTTAGAGCTTTCTTTCATTATACTGAAATCCTGAATAACCTTTCCAGAAATGCCACACATATTTCTGTGGATCATGTAGAAGTAATGGACATTAGTGGCCTCATAAATTTGTAAAATATATGTAATAAAGTGAATTGTAATTCATCTTGTAATACTATTTAATACTATTAATAGCAGGGGAATAAGCAATCTCTGCCTTCAAATTGCACACAGCATCACTTTTCATCCAAGAAGCAAAAGCAAATGTGGTAATATTCTTCAAATACTTGAAAGGAGGGCAGAAGGGCACAACTTCTCTATTATTGCATTATGCATACTAATAGACATAATTTACAGGACTTCAGTTGACTTTTAGAAAAAAAGATCCTAAAACAAAGAGTAGTTTTACAATGGAACTAATCACTAAGCTAATAGATTCTCCTTCACTAATTAAATGGGCCTAGTGGCCATGAGGGAGAGGAGGGTTTTAATTTGAACTATATCAGGCACTAAATTGGACTGGTTTTAAATGCCCCCTTTTGACTATATGATTCTTCTTGATATAGATGAATTTTTCCTGCAGAACCTTCTGGCTATTATACCAGAACAGTAAAAAGCAATTAAGCTCCTATATTCTTACACAAACTGTGTATTAACCATGTGGATATAAAAAGTTTGCTTTACGTTGGAAGTGCCATGATTGTAGTTATGTTTTGGTGATCCATCCATTTTTATATTAATCTAATAATAAGTGTCTAGCAGGTTGTCCAAATAAAATCATTTATGTGAAGATTTGCTGAAAGAATGACAGATATGCAAAAACTGAGGTTTTAATATTTGTATAGTTAGCTTCTAAATTAAAAAAAAATTGTTACCCAAACATATATAGTTATTTTAATTATTTGAAAGCATTCATTATATTTTTATCACAAGGCAGAATATAACTACAGATATACAGAAAACTTCTAAAAGAGTAAATTAAAAACCTTGACAGACTTTTTATCTCTCTCCTGATTCATGAAGAATGTAGACCCTTAAAAGCCTCAAATCCTGAATTGAAGACAAGCATATATTTCCTGTTTTTTTTCCTTCTGAAGAAAGGCACAAATAGTGCAATAATCTAGTTCAAAGAAAACCATCTTTAAAAATCTAGGCTCCAATTTTATGGGTTCTGTCTTAACTGTCACTTCAGCAGACAGTTGGCCATTATGCTCAATGTCCAGAGTCTCATTCAGTTTTCAGCTAGATGTGCATTGCCTTGAACTTCGTGACATCCTCTATCTCTGCCTGAAACTTTAAAGCAAGCTACAGGTCGCCTGATTCACAGTTTTGTGAGTTTGTGAGGATCTTCTGTGAATATCTCATGTCTTTCAGTCGTGGCCTAATATTTCTAGGCCTCCTGAATCTTCCCATCTTTTGAAAAGAATGGGGATATCCCATGTGTACAACTGACGCTGCTGTTGATGGACACTCGTTTATTTAAAGGCAAATTATGTATGCAAATACACCCACATATTCAAATTCATATGCACATAAAGTTCTTCAGCTGAAATAAATAAAATACGTGACTGCACACATAATATAGAAAATGTTTCAACAATTTAAACAGTTTCTTAAAACATTTAGAAGCCTGCCCCCATTAAAAGCACAGTGCTGTACAGGGACATGCAGTCAGGGGAGGCAGGGGAGGCGGGGCCCCACCAGTGTCATGAGGAAAAGAAAAGAAATTTTAAAATAATTAAAAAGGCTAAGATAGTTGCTGCCAGACTCCAGAGTCACAGTGACTCTGA